GATTTAAAAGAAAATCACATATATGTATACATAAAATATATATATATATATACCTATAGTGAGCTGTTAGTAGAAAGTAAATAGCCTGGAAGATACTGTTGTATATTAATACTGACACCAAAGAGGATAATCACAGTCACCCAAACTACTTCCCCCTCTCTGGCAGGCAGTTAATGCGGGGGTTCATGAACCAGGAGTGTCACCCAGAGTGGCACTTTGTACAGGGAACACTGTAGGACATTGCAGGGTAGGGTATGACAAGGGGTGAGATAATGGAAGTCCAGAGCAGAAAAGGGTGAGGGCAGAGTTCAGTGGTCAGGACGGGATGGATGTGGTGCTCCTGGTATAGGTGAGGACCTGGGCCCTGACGACATGAGTGGGCCCTGACAGGGAGAACTGCTGGGGCCCAGGGGACAGGACGGGGGCAGAGAGGAGCTGCCTGCCAGGTCAGCTTAGTCGGTCTCCCTCGGGAAGGCAGCTATCCTTTTGCCTCTTCTCTCCCTGCCACCCATTTCCTCCCCTAGCACCACAAGAAGTACCAGCACATCCACCAGAAGTCCTTCTCTTGCCCAGAGCCGGGCTGCAGGAAATCCTTCAACTTTAAGAAGCACTTGAAGGAGCACATGAAGCTGCACAGTGGTGAGTGGTAGAATTCCACCTCCCTTCCTGGGGCCCTTCACTCTCCCCTATGTGGGTCCTGTCACCTCCCCTTCTGTGGGTTCCATCACCTCCCTCTGAGCGATGACTCTCACTCACTCATTCTATATTCCCTGTGTTTTGGGCACCTGCTTGTTTGAGACTGTTCTAGGTGCTGGGTGCAGCAGTGAATAAGGCAGGCAGCCTAACCCTTGTGAGGCCGCCGCTCTAATGATACAGGGCTAGGAAGACGTGTGGAGTCGGGAAAGGAAGAGAGCGTGAGGGAGGAGTTGCTGTTGTAGAAAGAGAAGATGGTTTGAGCAAAGACCTAAGTGAAGCGAGGAGTGGAGACCCGTACCCTACAGTTGAGGGCAGCACATGTGGGAAAGCCCTGAGGTGGCGTCTGCATAGCGTGTTCCAGGAACAGGGAGGAGGCCAGGAGGTGAGAAGGGAAGAAAGAGAGGTCATGTAGGTGGTGGGTACCTTGGAGACCCCTGCTAGAATGGCTTGGCTCCTGCTCCGAGGAAGACGGGCATCATCACAGGGTCTGGAGCAGCAGAGGGACAGGGCTGACTTGCAAACACTGTGGCTGCTGTGTAAAGAACGGGGACTGCAGATGGACGGAACCAGGTGCTCAGCTGCGAAGAGACTACAGAGGTGCGCACGCAGGTAGTGGTGGCAGCCTGGATTTGCTGGTGGCAAGTGAGTCAGTGAGAAGTGGCCGGAGGCTTACATATGTGCAGATGGAGCCAGGAGGATGGAATCTGGCCACTCATGGTGGGGCAGGCAGGGAGGAGCCAGGGGATGACTCAGAGGATTCTAGCCTGGGCATCTGGGCAGAAGATGATGGGATTTCCTGAAAATAAGGGGGAAAGTGGGCTTGGGGAGAGGGAAATTTGATTTGAGATATGCTAATTAGAAATCCCAGGAGATTTGAATCTGGAATCAGGGCAGGGGAGATGTCAGGCAAAAATATAAATGTGTGTGTCATGAGCATACGGGTGTCACTTAGAGCCATGGGGCTGGAGTGGGAGTGAGGGTAGGTAGAGGAGAGATCTGAGCGCAGCACACCCACTATTGCAGGGCAGCCCAGGCGGGCAGGGAGGAAGGGAAAGAGTGTATCTGGAGAACAAAGGACAGAAGGTACTCCAGGGCAGGGAGGAACCAGTGCTAGTACCATAGGCCAATTAAGGTGAGAATGAGAACAGGCCACCAAATGTGGCAGTGGGGAAGCCATCTATGGCCAGATGACAGGATGGCACACATGAGGTGCAGTCGAACCATGGGGGTGACAGCCAGCAATGGAGTGCGTTCAAGACAGAGTGGAGCTGAGGAAGTGGAGACAGTAAGTCTGGACAATTCTTTGTGGGGTTTTGCTGTGAAGATGAGCAGAGAAATGGGGTCTTGGCTGGAAGCCTGTGGGTTTGGGGCACAGAGGTGGGAATGATTCATACAGAGGGAAGGCTTGCTGATGCCGGGGCAGGATGGGGGACCTCAGATGAAGTGGGGTGGTTCTTAAGGGGCTCAGTGGAGGGCAGCCCCAGGAGAGCAGTTTGAGTATTTACGTGTGCAGGCACAGATGCAAGTTGCCTAGTGGATTTGGTGGGTGGAGGATGTGGGTGTTCTCTTCTGGTTTGTTCTGTCTTCTTGGTGACTTAAAAATGAGAGCATTGCTGAGTGAGGATGGTGGGCTGGAGGAGGCCAGTGGAAAGAGAAGGTGGTGTGAAATGTCTTCTGGATTCTAGAAAGTAGAAGAATGAACTGACCATGAAAATGCAGATGCAGAGGAAGCCCTTGAAACTTGTGGCTGTAGATGAAAGGAGAGGCCAAGGGGGAGTTTTGTACCCCCTCAGCACACAGGGGCAGGTCTGGAGCAAGACCAAGGGTTGTGTTTATCCTGAGCTGGGCTTTAACCAAGCAGGTAGAGCTGAGGGAGAGAGAGGGGCAGGCAGATTGGTAGTGTGAGTGAAGGAAAGCCACAGAGACGGCCTTGGAAATAGACCTGAGAGGGGACGGGGGGCAGGGAAAGCAGTGGGGCCAGTGGACCAGCCCTGGGATTATCATAGCAGGACAAGGTAGGACACCCTGGCTGGAACCAGAATGCTTGAAATTGCAGTTTCCAAGGTGGTGCTGTGCTTGGGTGTGACCTGGGAGTGGTGGTTGAGGGTGCTGGGGCATGAGGTCAGCGAAGTCAGGGAACAGAGGGCCGGAGGGCTGAGCAACAGCAGGAGTAGTGGCAGACGGGAGTAGAGGACCTGGGGCCAGAGCGGTGTGGATCAACGGGGAGTAAATGGGGACCAAGGGACGAGAGGCTGTAGATGTGAGAGTGTGGGGGGGTCTGCTGGCAGGGTCTTCAGAGAGGTGGTGGTGGAGGTATAAAGGGCACTGTGAGAAGCAAAGACACCTTCTCTCCTGTAGGCCCTGAGGGTGTAGGAGAAGAACCACAGCAGCTCATAGGAGCTGCTGGTGCTGCAGTGACCACAGGCAACAGGCTGGTGCTGTTGGAACTAGTAGGGAGGGCAGGTTCAGGGAAAAAGGAGAGGGGATTGGCTACCTACAGACACAGAGTTCCAGAGGCCACTGATGGGGGCTGGGACGGTGGAATAGGCAGGACGGAATGGGTGGACAATTCCAGGTGCCAGGGACTGTCCTTGGGCCTTGGACTTCATTCTTAATTCCTGTCTGTGACTCCAGGCTTCTGCTTGGCTGTGCCTGGTGCCTTCAGTCCACACATAAGGACCCAACTCTCCATTCCTTGCGTCTCCCATGGCGGAAAACCAGCTTAGAGACTCAGATGCAGGGAGGTGCACTTCTGCTGGGAGTGCCATGGTTTGGGCAGGGTTGGAGGAGTGACAGTAACGAAGTCTTTTGGCTGGGTGTCACATTCTCTGTGTTCATATCTCCACTGTCACGACCATGTCAGGTGAAGGCAGTCCAGACAGGCTCCATGATTTGGACAACTAATTAGAATCCAGGCCTCCTGACATCTAGTACCGGTGCACTCCTGTGGGGGATGAGGGATGGTGGGTGGGTGGGCTGAGGAGGGGCCACAGGCTGGGGGTGGATACTAGAGTGTCCTTCATGTGCCTGCAGACACCCGGGACTACATCTGTGAGTTCTGCGCCCGGTCTTTCCGCACTAGCAGCAACCTTGTCATCCACAGGCGCATCCACACTGGAGAAAAACCCCTGCAGTGAGTGTGGGAGACCAGGGTCTGAGGGCCAGGGACCAGAGGCCAGCGGGGAGGAAGTGGGGTCCGGCAGTCAGGCAGGCAGGACACCCAGGCAGTGGGAAGCAGAAGGAACTCCTGGGGAAGTCAAGATGGGCCGAGGCCTCTTCCTTCCCTCCTCTGTCCCTGGCTCCAGGTGTGAAATATGCGGGTTCACCTGCCGCCAGAAGGCCTCCCTGAACTGGCACCGGCGCAAGCATGCAGAGACGGTGGCTGCCTTGCGCTTCCCCTGTGAGTTCTGCGGCAAGCTCTTTGAGAAGCCAGACAGTGTTGCAGCCCACTGTAGCAAAAGTCACCCGGCCCTGCTCCCAGCCCAAGAGTCACCCAGTGGCCCTTTGGAGCCTTGTCCCAGCATCTGTGCCCCGGAGCCTAAGGGGTCCAGGCCCTGTCTATCTCCTCAGGCTGCAACCCTGCTCCCTCTACAATAAGCTCTTCTGTGGCTTTGGCTTTGCGGAACCAGACCCCAGGGACAGAAAAGGAGCAAGGAGAGAGCCCAGATGCCTGGTACCCTGGAACTAGGGTGATGGGGAGTACAGGCTTGGGACAAAACTGGGATCTAGGGGAGCTGGACTACTTTAGTCTTCCCAAAGGACAGAATAAACAGAGTATTTTACGTGGGCATGTGTGGGCAGAACGAGTATTTCGGCACCTGAAGTGCAGGAATTTTGGATCTATTTGAAAGCAGGCTCCGCTAGAATGCAGCATAGGTGCAGGCCCTGTTCCTCTCTCTGGAGGCCCTCACCTGCTCTGACCCTGAGGGGCCAATTTTCTTTCCAGGCTCACTTTGGCACTTTGCAGCCCTTTCCTGTGGAGTAGGACACCCACCCTCATATTCAAGTAGAGCAGGCTGTGACAGTCTGGAGAGTCCTGAGGCACCCAGGCGGACAGGCTGGAGCAAGAATACTGACCCAAGGCCATCTTGTACTTGGCCATTAATTGAGGAAACCAAATGTGTCGGCCCTGAAGTCTTGCCTTCTAGTATAGACTCTAGAGGTCCTACATGCCCGATCACTGAGCTTCCTTGGGAAGGGGTAAGAGACCTTGGAACTGTGGTGGGACCTGGCTCTTGAATCACTCCCAAAGTCTGAAGACAGCAGCCTTAACACTTGACAAAGGGAATTCTTAGCATCCAGAACCCAAGCAACTCTTTATTTTACCAGCCTTGAGCAAAAAGTTTGTTGGCTAATTCCAGGGGGATTTTCCATCCTGCCCGCTTCCCTGTGTGGAATCTGTTTCCCCAGGGCTCCAAGCTAGATTCGGAAACATTCTGATGCTCCATTTGGTAGTGCCTAGCTCTGTGGACATGTGGTTTTGGCTTGGGTCTCAGGGCAAATGCCTCCAACCTGGCTGGAGAACACTGTCCTGAGAGGCACCTTGATCTGCCCTGGGGACAGATGAATGGCGGTGCTGAAGGGCGCATCCACCTTCACATGGGTAGGCCCCCTCTGCCAGGGAGCAGGCAGCTGCAGGCAGGGATACGTCCTCCCTGCTCGATAACCTCCTGCCTCCACACCTGTGTCTCAGAAGCAGAGGGAGAAAGCAGCATAAAGGTTAACAGGTGGAACCAAGAGGCAAGATGACCACAGGGCCAGCAACATGTGACTGATCACAAATCAGTGATCATTATCTTAGGGGACAGGACAGTGAAAGTATTGGGGAAGAAGCACAGGAGAGGTGCAGGCTGGGTTAAGGAGATGGGACAAGAGAAGACAACACGGGCAGAGAAACAGCAAAGGAAACACCAGAGATCACGGTAGCAGTAACGGGACATACCGATACCTGGGCTCTCCTGCACACAGGGAGTCTGAGAGGTGCCCCTAACGCCCTGCACCTACACTCGGGGGAGAGAACCAGGCCGGACGATGCAAGGACTGAGAATGGGACAAGAGCTGACAGGGAGGGTGTAGAGGCAGGGTAGGTGAAGGGCTACCCACAGAAACTGGAAAAGCAGCAGGTCACAACACCGTCCTTTCCCAAACGTCCCTCTGCGAGTTGCCCCATCCCCGACCCCGTCCCTGTGGCACGATGTGGGTGTTTGCCTATCCTCTTCAGAGAAGCCCCTCAGCAAGTCTCTCTCAACTGGGATATAAAGAGCCCTGGCTTTTCCTCTACAGCCGGACCAGCGAAGACCAGGGTAGCCCCCGCTGTGGCCTGGGCGGCGGCAGCAGCAGTGCGGGCGCGTGTGTGGGCCCGCTGATGTTGCGACAGCGAGCGGCTGTGGCTGAAGCACTTGCCACACTCAGCACACTCCGCCGGCCGCTCGCCCAGGTGCGTCTTGCGATGTAGCGCAAGCTTGGAGGCGACGCTGAAGGCCTTGCCACAGTCGGGGCATCTGTGTGGCTTGTGGCCAGCATGGTTGCGCCGATGCACGTTGAGGTTGGACACGCACGTGAACCGCTTGCCGCACAGTTCGCAGCGGTAGGGCTTCTCGCCCGTGTGCGTGCGCCGGTGCTTGGTGAGGTCCGAGCGGTCGCTGAAGCGGCGGCCACACTCGGGGCACGGGAAGGGCTTCTCACCAGTGTGGATGCGCTGGTGCACCACGAGGTCGGAGCGCTGCCCGAAGCCCTTGCCACAAGTGGCGCACGCATGTGGCCGCTCGCCCTGGTGGCTGCGCCGGTGGCGCAGTAATGTGGAACTCTCGCTGAAGCAGCGCCCGCAGTCACCGCATGCATACGGCTTCTCTCCCGTGTGCGTGCGCTGGTGGCGCACCAGCGTGGCACTCTCCAAGAAGCCCTTCCCGCACTCTGGACACTTGAAGGGCTTCTCCCCCGAGTGCGTCTGCAGATGTCGCGTTAGCGTAGAGCTCTTGCGGAAGCTCTTGCCACACACGCCACACTGGTGCGTGTCCGGGGCACGGGGTCGCCGGGGCACGGGGCTCTGGGCCACGTGGACACGCGCATGACTCCGCAGCCCTGCGCCGCTGCGGAAGGCCCGCGGGCACTGCGTGCAGCGGTGCGGCGGGTCGGAGGTTGTCCCCGGGGCGTGTGCCCTCGCTTGGTGGAAGGCCAGCGCACTCTGTCGGAAAGCACGGGCGCATAGCGGGCAGCGGCGGGCCCGTTCGGGCGGGTGTCGGTGGCGCCGGTGCACTAGCAGCGCGGGGAAGTGCGAGAAGCGGCGGCCGCATATGCGGCAGGGGCAAGCGCGGCTGCGCCGATGAGCACCCACGTGTAGGTCCAGGCGGCCGCTGTGGCGGAAGCTCTGGCCGCACTCGCCGCAGATGTAGAGGGTCTGGCCCACATGCGTGCGCCTGTGCGCCCGGAGGTCGGCAGCCCGCGCGCAGCGCTCGCCGCACTCCAGGCAGTGGACGCCGCCGCGGCCGCCGCCATGGGCACGCTCGTGCCTCAGCAGTACCGAGCTGTAGCGGAAACTCTTGCCACACTCGCCGCACGCGTAAGGCCTTCCTGACGCAACCGCCCCCGGTGCGGAGAACATGGTGAGGGGGGCTCACAGAGTAGTGCGCCACTCACACTTTGGGGTGCACTTCCTCCCACTGCGGATAATTTTCATTGTTAAAGCCTGGAAAGGGAAAGGCAACAGAGAAAAGGGAGAGGCCCTGAAAACTGGTCTGTGGTTTCCAGGATTTCTTGTCTCACAGGCAGACGTTACAACTGTTCCAGAGGCGGGCTGTGGCCAGGTTCACTCTGCCCGGGAGCCTGCGGGGAGAAGGTCTCGGTGAGCCCCAGCAACAGCTCTGACGGAAGGAAGGGGGAAAGTGAACTCCCTATTTCCTGTAACTTACTCAGTCCCTCTCTGGATTCCCTTCTCCAAGACGAAGCAAAGCCACATGAGTCCCAGAAATAGATAGGGGGGTGTCCTTGTACTTACTACCTGGAAGGGCAGGGGCACAGACTGCAGGTGTCCGGGAGAACAGGCAGGAATGGATCCAGAAGGGGAGCTTACTTTCAGTGTGACAAACATCAACACTGCTTGGGAGGGAAGGGAGTGCGCAGCCTGTTTTCTGGCCTTGGACTGGGGATCCCCACCTGGGGATGCATTAGGCAATGACCAAGGACGGATGGGCCAATGAGAAGACGCCCCAGGGCTTAGACCATACAAAGGCCACCTTCTAACTCCCAAGTTTCCTGAGTCGTCATTGCGAACCCAGCCAGGCTTGGGCTAGAGGACAAAAAGGCAATGCGATGGAGCACAGACAGGCCGAGCAGCAGCAGTCTGGGCAAAAGGCTCAGACCGTGGTGTTATTGAAGGGCTGGGGCCTGGGCAAACGAAGATATTTGAAAAACCCCAAAATATTGTTCCTTGGCTTTGGACAACACCTGATAAGCAACTACCCCAAACCAGTACACAACCCCAGTTGAGAAAGCAACTCAAGAGCCATTTGGTGAATTATCCAAAGCCACTCAACTTTACATAATTCACAAAAAAAAATATTATCAAAAGTTGCTAGCAATATCGAAGAATTGCTTTTCACATTTTTGGGAAAGGCTGGGGATAAGGAAGGGGCATCCTTTCTAATTCTCAGGGTATCCAAATTGTTTGTGAACATTCCGCACACTTTCTTCACTGCTCCAGCCCCACGGATCTGAGCATCTGGACTATTAGAGAAACTCCTTTATGAAGACCAGATCTACTCTGCTATCTTGTTTATCTCAAGTAGTATCCTTGAATCCTTCTGACAAGTTACTCCAGGCAGCTGACTGGGAGCAGGGTCAGCCCTTGTAGTATGTGCATAGAACCTCGAATGCCCTCGTCATCTGGCTGGCCTCACCAGTGACTACTTCCCTCAAGGCCCATGGATCTGTCCCCAGCCCAATTCAGTGAGTGGGACAGTGGAGATTAGATACAGTTGTTAGTTCAGAAGAGCCCCTGTCACCTACCAGATTGGGGAGAGGAAGCAAGCAAAATAGTCAGCAGTCATTTTCCTATTAGCAGATGAATATTCATCATAAATACTCAAAACTTTAGTTATAAAATACCCCCCCAGTCAGGATCCTCATCTTTTGGATGCAAATGGGGACGAGTGAAAAAAGCCTTGAAAACAGCAAACCTGCAGGAGTGGGCTCTGGAGCTTCTGCTGTCCTCTGTGCTGGGCAAGCATGGCGGACGCAGGATACCTTCCTCTTGCCTGTCTGTAACAGGATGTGCTGTGTCCTGCAGGATGAAGTAACAGGGAAACTGTGAATTTCTTTATTTTATTTTTTTCTAGAGACAGAGTCTCACTTTCTTGCCCAGGCTGGAGTGCAATAGTGTAAGCATAGCTCACTGCAGCCTCACAATCCTAGGCTCCTGCATCAGCTTCCAAAAGTGCTGAGATTACAGGCATGAGCCACTCTGCCCAGACAGAAAATGTGAATTTCAGCTGAGTAGGACAGAAATAGGGAGAGAGAGAGAAGTATTTCCTTGAGGAGGGTGTTTCTTAAGGGACATTTTCAAATGTAAAAAACTAAACTGGGGAGAATAGTATCATAAATCACTATTTTGCCATTCTTGTTTCATCTGTGATATCACTCCATTTTTTTTTTCTTTTTGTCTAGAGTATTTTAAATCCCAGACATCTTATTCAAAGAGGATAATTTTTAAACAAAATCTGCAAGCAGGGGCAGGAGGCCTTCTGCACACTCAAGAGCAGATTTTAGAGGGAGTCCCTTGGCTCCTCCACAGAACCTTCAACCCAGACACTTGGGCTGCTCATTCCAATTGGACATCGGTTCACAGGAATGTTTGTCCTTATGAGACTAAAACCTTTGCTGGAGACTCAGTGGCTGATCCCAACTGCCAGAGAAAGTCATGCTTATTCCCCAGTGAGTGTTCTACCTCCTCCAGGGGAATCTGGAGACCATGTTTCTGGGCACTCAGCCTCCCACAGGCCACTGTGTCCCAGGGAATATGCCCAAGGAAGGTAAGACAAATGCACAAACACCAACATACACACATAAATGGCACATAAAGATACCATTTCCTCCCATTATGGACGGGGGTAAGAAAGACTCTGATCAGGAAGGATGCAGGTATGGTGCGTGAATGTCAGGCTGGGCCCTTCAAGTCTCTCTTCTCTACCTCACCCCATGCTGGAGCTTGCCCTGGAGGCAAAAAGGTTCTGTGCTTAAGGTGGAAACCTGAAAGAAAAAGTATTATGGGCCAAAAACCAATGATTTCTAGGCTGTGCTGACCACTTTCCTGAGTTAATGTGAGTTTTGAAATTGTTACACTACCAACTTTATTTTACTTTGGAAAAAAAATAAATATAGGAAAGCTTGGCAACAATTATGTGAATTAGTGAAAATCCTAACCGTTGAAGTACCTTTCATAGACTTAATGCTTACAAATACTGTACAGATAGCTAATAAAAACAGGTACTAAGTAAGGTAAGCTAATGGAAAAATTAACATTTAAAATAGATTCAAGATAAACTTCTGAGTTTCATATATCACTTTATTTTTTTGTTTCTTAATAGATATAGGTATTTCATACCATATCTAATTGGTCACAAATTATAAATCAGGAGTGTTAGAATTAATCAGGATTTAGAACATTTATTAACAATCTACTGTGAGAGATTTTTCTTCTGAGTTGCATTCTTGAGCCAGAATAAAGATTTTTCTTCCCTGGTTATCTATTCTGCCACACCAGCATTTCTGGGGTGGGATGAGAGACCCCAGAAAGTCGTGATTCACGAGAAGCAAGGGGTCATCTTGCGATTTCTCCATCTTGAAGCCAGAGCTAGGTAAACCAGTCTGGGCAGCAGGGAATGGCGCTATGGGGAACTATTCAGAATCGTGCTGGCTACTGTAGTAGCCAAGACCCACAAGTGGCAACTGAACACTGGAAACCTGGCTGGTCCTGGCTGGTCCAAATTAAGATGTGTTGTAAGGGTTAATACACTCCTCATTTCAAAGACTTAGTATTAAAAAAGAATGTAAAATAACTCATTAATATTTAAGGTTGATTATATGTTGAAATGACAATATTTTGGATATATTAGGTTAAATACAATATTAAAATAAATATTACCCATTTTTTAAGAAAATTTAAGATTACAGATGTGGTTCATATTTTATTTCTATTGAATAGTGCTTGTCCAAATAGCCTTTCCAAATTCTGGAACAACATACAAAGGGAGGCTAGCCCACCTGACAGCCCCTGGAGGGCTTTGGTTGGGAAAAGGTCGCTCACCTCCCTGACCCTCTGAGCCTTAGTATACATGCAGAAGACCCTTCCTTTCATTTCCCAAGACCTCAGCTCCTAGCCAAAGGATAGATCCCTCCAAAGGAGTCTATCTGCTCTTTTGGAAAGTGGATGTGTGTACTGCCCATCTACACCTGGTTGGGACTTGGGGTTGTGACTTATGCAACACCTTCTCTCACTGCTACTCTGTGGGTGGAACCATCCCAGTTGTCACTAGCATCAACACGTGACAATTCTGACATGTTTGTATGTACATACATCCCCCTTTCATCCTCCCAGTGGTCCTTTAAGGTGGGTGTTATCATTTACTCCCCTGTGACCTGAGTTTCCCGACCAGGTTGTCCAGAGTCATCCAGCACAAGTGCACTGGTGGGTCTGAGGACAGGAGGAGGCAGCAACCCTGATGACCTATCTCTCACTCTCTCAGGGCAGCCCCCACCCCTTCCCAGAGGCCCCAGCTGGCCTGCAGCAGCTCACGAGCAACAGGGGCGGGCCTGGCTGAGTGGCTTGGTGGGAAGTACTAAGCAGCCAGGGTCCAAGGGGGAGGAATGCTGGCCCCAGGGACCACTGCTTGGGGCCTCCAGGATTAGTCTGTGCGCACTGTGTCAATCTTGGGCCCTGGCCCAGGAAATGGAACTATCTCAATTAGAAGAATGGGCAGGAACTGGCGGTAGCTGTATCAGGAGAGGTGATTCTTCTGCTGCCTTCTCCTTGAATCCTTACCCCTTGAGAGCTGAGTGATGCTCTTGTCTCCAGAATTGTGTCACGCCAAGACACCCTGAAATCCAGACCAGATAGAAACAAATTATCCACTCCCCACTCTGGATGGGTATGGAGTAGAAAAGTTTCCCTGGCCCTCAGGAGCCTGCTCTGGGGCCTTTCCACTTCCAAGTCCTTCCACCGAGAAAGCTCTTTCCCCCCTTCACTCAGGACTCTCCTCAAATAATGCTGTCTCTTAAAGGCTCCCCCTACCACCCTCTATGTGCCCCTCTCATCCCATTACTCAGCTTTATTCTGAATCAATCAGTGACAGTAACAGGAAATAGGCCAGATGCGGCGGCTCACCCTGTAATCCTAGCACTCTGGGAGGCTAAGACAGGAGGATCTCAGGAATTCAAGACCAGCCTGAGCAAGAGTGAGACCCCTTCTCTACTAAAAATAGAAAAAATTAGCTGGCACGGTGATACACACTTTATAGTCCCAGCTCCTCAGGAGGCTGAGGCAGCAGGATTGCTTGAGCCCAGAGTTTGATGTTGCAGTGAGTTATGACACCACTGCACTCTAGCCCTGGCAACAGAGCAAGATTCTGTCTTTTTAAAGACAGAATCTTAAAAAAAAAAAAAGCAACAGGAAACACTGATTCCCATACACTCTGGAAAGATTTAAGCCCTATTCTAAGAGGTGAAGATGAGGAATAGAATTCAAAGCACCAGAATAAATACTCCTTGCTTCCTTCTCCCCCATAGCAGAAACAAGGTCCAGTACTTCAAAAGAAGTTGCTTCTCCAGCTTCAGATCCAGTCTGACATGGTCAAGGAGCTGGTGGAAATAGGACAGCTCGCTTCCACCTATGATCCCAGGTCTGATCATGATCCAAATACATTCTTTTGGAAGTTTTGGTTTCACAAATATTTTCCTGTGAAGTATGGAAAAGGTATGGATGTAGGCGGGGAGACAAAATACATGGAGTTTATCCTCTGTCCCTTGACACATGGGTAAAACTGAGTGGCTAGAGCATTCCAGATCAGGGATAAAAGGGACGTTAGGGTCTTTTGCACCCTCCCCGGGCCTAGCAAGGAGTTGGACACATATAGGTACTCAATGTCTTTTTTTCCCTCACTGACCACTCATTCATCAGTCATACACAATACATTTCTAAAATGGCATATTAGTCTGCAATCCAATTCTCCCAAATGTAAGGTTCCTGGAAGAGGGGGCCTCTATAGTCACCTTATCTTCCATAGCTCTACCTACTGCATAAACTGCAAATACTTTGCTTTGCTTTACAGAGTCAAACTGCCATCTGTTTAGAGGAACCAGAGAGGCAAGCATCCAAATTCTGGTTCTTCCCATCACCAGCTGTCTGACCTTGGACAGGAGACTGAGGGTGTCCTCTTGCCTGGGAAAACTCTAGTAAAGGAAGCTGTTATATAATGTTTCATATGAAAAGAGAGAAGGTCAAAATATTGGTAAGTCTGAGAACTGCGGTTGCCCAGTGCTTAAGATTTACTCTCCTCAGGACAATCCTTTATAGCGACTCTGAATAAGGTGCCTCACTCCAGTCCCCAACTCCCAGCACACTAGTGTCTGCAAGCCCTCTTCCCGGGTACGCGGCATGGGTCTTCCGCAGTCTCACTTCCGCGACTGTGAGCTGTAAGAGTAAGGCGAAGCTGAGTGCTCATTTTAATACTCGGTGCCTGGTACTTAACAGGAGCGGAAGCCGACTCCTCACGGACGAGTAATATCGCACCTGAATAGGTCGACCTCCAGGCCCGCTTCCCCCGCAGCGCAGCCAATCCTGCAGCGCCCGGGTCAGCGCGCGGAAGGAGCTGCTGGGCAGACTCCCGTGGGCGACCCCTTCTCGCGCCGGGGGCCACCCCGTCCTTCGCCCGTGGCGCCACCCCACCTAGCGGGCAAGCAGGACACCAAAACGGTAGTGGGAAGTGGGGAACATGGAACGCCGACGAAGCCCGGTGCCTGGCGCTGCCCTTGTATCCGGCCCAGCGTCTTGGAGCCGCCAGCTCCGAAGGTCACCCGGGGAGGACCAGCGAGGACAGGCGGAGGGCAAGGCCTGGGAGGAGCGGGCCGCGCGGCCGCCGCCGTGTCCCGGCCAATGGCTCGCTCCGCCGCGTCTTCGCGTCACGCGCTGCCCGGGCTGCGTTCCCGACCGCAGCGGACGGTCGCCAAAAGCGCGGGGACAGCCTGGCCCCAGTTCGGTACCGCTGTCCTGCGCCACCCTGGCCCTCCCGGCCCTTCGGTCCCCTCACCGGTCGCCGACTGGCTTCCTCTGACACCGCGCGGTTGCCGCTCAGCTGCCCGCTGACCCCGCCTCCGGGCCGCGGGACCGCGGCGGGAAGGAGGAAAGGGCTGGTGGCGCGCGCGGCTCCTCGGGCTGCAGGTCCCGCTCTCGTGCCGCTCGCCCCGTGCGCGGCGGGCAGGCCTGGCGGCACTACCGACCCGGCCCTCAGGCCGCGGCTGGAATTCCGGAAAGGGGGCGAGGCCATCAGCTAGGGCCAAGGGGCCTGCAGTCCCGCCTCTTGCCCGCGCAAGAGCCCCGCCCTCCTCCCGGGCTTAACCACTCCCTGACTGTCCCTTCATCCGCGGCCCACCTCTGAGCCTTGTCCCGCCCAATCAGAGGGAAGGGGGCCGAGCCCGCTGGCCACCTCGCCGCCAGCCCCGGGATCTGCGGAGGGCGGTTTAAGGCCTGATCCCTGCTGTTCGCGCGCGCCGCGGGGACGCGGACTGGCGCACGCTCGAGCGCTGCCTGCGCGGTCGCTGGTGCTGTTCCCCAACCCGCCCCAGTTGTAAGCTAGTGACTTCTTACACTGAGGCCAGACTTAATACCTATTATCTACCTTAATCCTCACCAGAACCCTGCCAGGGGACATTTTCTCCATATTTCAGATGAGGCGGCCACAAGTTAATGATCCATCAAGGTTGCACTGCCAGGGATCGGGGGACTCCTGGTCTGCTTGCCAGCTGCCTCTCCAAGAGCTTGTTGGTTGAGCTCCCTGTCCAAATGTTGACTTTTATGTCGTCTTCCACTGGGAGTGCTACTAGTGGTGTATTCTGGAAATGCCTTTGGGAGCTTGACCAAATGCAGTAGCCCTCTATCATGAGAACAGACGCCCAAGCATGGCCCTCAAGGGCCTTCATTTTACTTGCTCTAATCTTCTTTTTGAGGTCATTTAGTACCATTCATCCTGTTACACATCTAGAACTCTGCTCAAGGGTCCTCTAAATCGGTGTACACTTAGACTTGTCATGCTTGCCCTGGAAAACTCCTTCTTCTGTTTTAATTCCACCAATTTGTAAAAGCTTAGTCAAATGCCATCTCCATAAACCTATTCTGGAATGCCCCTCTCCATCCTCAGTCCTTAGGATACATCCCTGCTGCAATGCAACAGTTGGATGAACACTGTTCCCCCATAGTTTATGGGTCAGGCTGTGTCCTATTTGGGAACAATCCTCTGAAGCATGAGCACAGGGCATGCACACCACAGATGCTCAGTGAGTGTTTGCTAACTTGCATATGACAACATGGCACAAGGAGGACAAGGTCTAGCATCAGCAGGCAAAGAAATTGAAAAAGAAGACACAGGATTCAGGCCTGGGGTGATGAGGGACCGAACTAGGAAGGGATAGAAGTGAGAGATGTGGAAAAAGAAAATGTGCCTGAAGTAAAGTATATTTTTTAAAAAATTATAAAGTACCATACATAGTTAAGGTAGTGTTATGTAGCAGATGACTAGTTGAGGATAATTCCAAAGTAGATCAGGACAGAGAAACAGCTTACTTCAGACATTTCTGGACTCATTGCTCAGTATTGATGTCATGTTTTTAAGGGACACTGCTACACTTGGTTAATTCCAGAGGCATGACTAGGATGGTAATAAACAGACCAGATAATTGAAGGGGCTGGGGATATTTATCCTGGAAAAGAGAAACCTTTTTTTGTGTATGTAGTGACTGTACACAAATTTTGACAAACTGTCATGTGAAAGAGGGCTAGATTAGATGACTTTCCATTCTAAGGAAGCATTCAAATAATGGGGGAAATACAGGAAGGTGGATTTTTGTTTCCTGTGTTATGGGAGTTATCACAGTGGGAGATGATAATAATTGGAACAGGAGTATTGAGTGTATGGGAGAAAGTTAGGTGAAGTATGAAGTTATGTGTGTATTGTCAACTAGAAAATACCAGCTCCCGGGCCGAGCTGATGCCTGTAATCCTAGCACTTTGCGGGGCTGAGGTGGGATGACTGCATGAGCTCAGGCATTTACGATTGCAGTGAGCTATGACGCCACTGCCCTCATGACCAGGCAACAGAGCAAGACCCTGTCTCAAAATAAATAAATAAAATAGAAATAAAAATTTAATATATATATATCTCAGATCCAGATCCAAATGGTTTTATTTCCATACAAATCTATGTCAATAAATGACAACTCCCAATGTGGTTCTATAAATATTCAAAATATTTATGAAGGTCTACTATATACCAGGTAGTGTCAGGAATACAGCTATAAACTTCCAGATGAATCTCCCTAAAGTAAAGCTCTGATTGTCATGCTCAAAAACTGTCAAAAGTCTGTATTTACTGACCAATGAAGTTTATTCTCCTGGTGTAATATCCAAGACCTTCCACCTTTTGCAACCTGCCTTTCCAGTCTGTTCTCTCCAATTCCCCAAACAGGTGGGGAATTTCTCTCAGTCTGGAATACATTCCTTTTATTCCTCCACTTCTCCTTTTCTGCCAAAGTCCTATGTATGCATCAGAGCGCTGTTCAAATGCCAACCCATCCTCAAAGTGAAAATTATATCTTTCTGAAGACCACCAGAATTGTTCATCCAGAAATTCCATAAGTATTTATAGAAAACATGTTGTCTTTGCAGGCCACAAGATGCACAAGACACTATCTGTATTTTCATCCTTTACCGTGTACTCTAGAATAACATGCATATTTATTTCCCCTTCTAAATTGTAAACTTGAGGGCAGGGTCAGTGTCTGAGTGCACATTTCTGAATACTTGCTATGTAAAAGAAAATGGGCTGAGTGTTGGAGACAAAATGGAGACTGAGTTCTTTGAGGACATGCTGAGGGAGGGCAGACCCCAGTAGACCCTGGCATCCCATCATGTGCAAAGTATAAAGTGGTATAAAGGTAGAAGGGGAAGAATAGGATAATTTTGCCATGGGTCATCAGCAAACTTCATTGACTCATCACGTAGCCAAGATTTTGTATCGGGGTCTGTGGATAGAAGTAACAATGATTTCCACACACACACACCCATCCCCCTGGGGAGCTTTCTGCCAATATAGGAGACAGGATTGGGTTGGGCAGAGGGATTAGATGAACAGGAAAGGAGTGGGCATGCTCTCAATCCAGACTAGGATAGAATAAATAAAGGAGGCTCAGAATCCTGTGGAGGATGTGCAGTAGAGTAGGGCAAGAGTTCTAGGAAGTAGAGCGGGTAGAGGTGTTGAAAGAGTTTCCTCAAAAAAGTTTTGGACTAAAGTTAGGAATTCATCCTTTCCACAAGCTTTGATTAAGGTCTGAGTCTGCACCTGGCTGGGTAATGGGAACATAGAGATGAACAGAACATCACATGCGCATTCCGTGCCTTTACAGTACAGTAGAGGCATCTATCCCATGCCCAGGAGTGTGGGCTTCCCTCAGTGGGCAGGGGAGGACCCCTGGTGCATCAGGGTTTGTAAAGACTGAAGTTAGAGATGAATAAGTGAAGCTTGGGACATTTCCAAGAGACTGTAGGTAGATGAGAAGGGGCTGAGGGCAGGACCCTAGAGCACCAGTCTCCAAAACCAGGCAGCTACAGAAAGGGCAACGAATAAAGCTTTGGGGAGGAGAAGAGTCACAACAGGGTCAAAGTTTTAAATCCCATGTGAGGAACTGGCAGGCAGTGTCCATGCTAGAGTAAGTCAAATAGTATCAAGGCCATTGGGTTTGGCCAGTGGGCACTATCAGTAGTTTATGAAGAGAGACAGAGACAGAAAGGAGGGGAAGTAAAAGTTGAAGGCAAGCAGAACAGGCACACAGTACATGCTTTACATTGCAGTTGAGGGGCAAGTGAAAGGCAAGTATTAGGGCTAAGAGTATAGACCACTATTTGAAATTCTTTGTTTGAAATGTGAGCCCACTGATTATTTCCAAAACGTCGAAAATCGGGCTGGATGAGGTGGCTCACACCTGTAATCCCAGCACTTTGGAAGGATGAGGCAGATCAGCCTGGGCCACAGAGTGAGACCCTGTCATTAAAAAAAAAAAGGCTGAAAATCAGATTTGGAAGGATTGCTGTGTTACCAGTGGTATAAGGACTGGAAAACTGTTTCAATTTCATTCATCTTGTTCTTGTATTACTAAATACAATGTTTTCCATTCTTCAAATATTCTAATTTCAGTTCCATATATAACAAAAACGTTGGCCTCTAGAGCAGGAGTCCCTGACCCTTTTGGCACCAGGGACTGGTTTCATGGAACACTATTTTTCAATGGATAGGGGGTGGGAATGGTTTTGGGATAATTCAAGTGCATTATATTTATTGTGCACTTTATTTCTAATATTACATTATAATATATAATGAAATAATTATATGACTCACCATAATGCAGAATCAGTGGGAGCCCTGAGCTTGTTTTCCTGCAATTAGACAGTCCCATCTTGGGGTGATGGGGGGGGACAGTGACACCGAAAGTGTGTTGCTCATGTCCAGTCCACTCTGTAATCTCATTTTTGGTGCTGTCACTGCAGGAAACCCTGCTTCACAAAGACAGGATGTTGAAAATGGAAGCAGGCTTTTCAGTGCTTTTGCAGCAATCTCAGGATATTCCACCTTGACTTTAATCCAGAACATATGAAGATTTGAAGTTGTCTCAAACATACTTTTAAGGCCACCACCATTTGAGATCTTAAGCAGTTGATCCTGACACAGACAAAGTCAATTCACCTGGCTAATTCACAAATGGGTCACGGATCCATTCCTTCCGAGTTCGGGGGTCTTTTGTGGTTGGGAAGCAATGCCCAAACTCTTTTGAAAGCTGAGGTGATCATGCACCAGCTGGGAGAAAGAAGGCCCTGGCTCAGTCTCTTTCAACATTTCTGCTAATGTTTGAAACATGTTAAAAATCCCAATGTTCAGTTGTCACCCCCATAATTCCAGTTTGATTTTGAATGTAGTCACTTTGTCTGCTGACTTGAACACAGTTGTCATTCTCTCCCAAAGTGACAGATTGAGTTTGTTTTGCAGGTTGAGTATGTCACGCAAGCAAGTTTTGTGACCCATTCTGTGTCACTGAATTGTGTTGCCAGAGGTGATTGTTTTTTTGTAAAAGAAATCTCTGGAGCGGCTCTTATAACTCAGAAACTCTGGCCAGTGATCTACCTTTAGAAAGGCATCTCACTTTTGTGTATAAGAGAAGACGTGTGTGCTCTGTGTCCA